CGGGCCAGCGAGCCCGGCTGCGTGCCAGGCGGGGCTCCCGGGGGGAGCAGAGCTCTCCTCCGGCCGCTTCTCACCAGCCGCCTTTCCCTCCCCCCCCTCTTCTCCCCCCCCGAAGTCTCTCGTGATCCCCGAGAAATTTCAGCACATCCTGCGAGTCCTCAACACCAACATCGATGGGCGGCGGAAGATCGCCTTCGCCATCACCGCCATCAAGGTAGGTGGCAGGCGGGGCGGTGGGGGCGGCGTCCTCGGGGGGCGCCTGGGGCTCCGGCGGTGGTCTTCAGCTTCCGTAGCCCTCGCAGGCGGTCCCGGTGGGGCTCTTCTGCAGCTCTCCCCGAGGTCGGCGTGGAGCCCCTCGCAGCTCCCGCGAGGTGAAGAAGATTGAGGAAATCTCTCTCTCTGAGCTCCTTTCCCGCGGATTCCCCCAGAGACAGACCGGTGCCTTCCTTGAGGCGGGTTCCGCTCCGGCCTTGGCGTTCCCAGTTCCCGAGGGCGCCCTCGCCGTCGGGGTCTGCCCTGGCCAGGCCGGCCTCCTTGAGACCAGATCTGAGCTGCGGGCAGCCCAGCGAGCCCTTGGGCCTTCAGGGCCCGTTTGAGTCCGCCCTCGGGGAGCGTCGCTCCAGCTCCACGACCCTCTCCGACCTGAGTGAACGCGGGCGTCCTTGCTGGGTCACGAGCGCTGGCGGCCTCTGAGCGTTTGCTAATCTAGCCGTTGAGCGGATCAGAGAATCGGGCCAGGGTCGCGCAACGCGGACCGCTTATGAATCGGGCGGCCGTATTGGCTGCGTCGGCTCAGCTTTAACTAGGGGTGCGCTGCCCTTCGGATCTGGGGCGGAACAGCTGCTACGGAGCACCCGCTTCCCTTCGAATCTGAAACGCGAAACACCCCTAGTCTACATCTTGGCTTTGACCTCCATCCGAACTCACTAAGTTGTGCAAATCCATAAAACGGGCCCGTTTGGTTGCCCTTGAGGCATGAGCAGCAGGATCAGGTGCCCCAGGAGGGGGGTTGCATCCTCCGGGATTCCCTCTGAGCGGCTAGTGGTTCTCAGACGCCTTCTCTCCGCAGGGCGTGGGCAGGCGCTACGCTCACGTGGTGCTGCGGAAAGCGGACATCGACCTGACCAAGCGGGCAGGGGAGCTCACAGAGGATGAGGTGAGAAGAACCGGGGAGCGACGACAGCGTTGAGGGCAGAAGCCGGCGGGGGCGGGGGGAGTCTCTGGGACGCCCTGGTGTGTCCGGGGAGCAGGGAGACTGAGGACCCTGATGGTGGCCGCTGGAGCTTTTGAAAGAGAGGCGGGATAGTTACCCGTCTGGGATGGTGTAGCAGGAGTCCTGCAGGGTGCAGAAGTTGGGTTTGATGACCTCTCAGTTCCCTGCTGGCCCTGGGATTCTACGGCCTGGCCCCCTCTTGGGCAGCCCATGAAGAGAGGGGCCCTGGAACCCCAAAGCAGGGCCCGTCTTTTCCCTTGAGGCCAAGGCAGAAATCGCTGGAAGCCCAGGCTGTTCCACACATCCTTCGCGGCCTTCTCGTCTGGCCGGTACTCCAGCGTGTGGCGGAAGCAGCTCTGGGAGACCGCTTCCCCGTCTCAGCGGGTGGGCGCAGGGCCTTGTGGCCAGCTGGGGGGCCCTGGCTAGTCAGTGGATTCAAGTGGCGCCATGTCGGTCATCTGGCTGCAGCCCCTTCAGTTCTCCTCGCTAACATTGGCTCTCTCTGGCCGGATCACCCACCAGCCTTGTGCCCAGTACAGTGGGCTGCCCCCTCTGTGACCCTCTTGGCCTTCCCAGGTCGAGCGCGTCATCACCATCATGCAGAACCCCCGGCAGTACAAGATCCCCGACTGGTTCCTCAACAGGCAGAAGGACGTCAAGGACGGGAAATACAGCCAGGTGAGGTCCAGGAGCCGGGTTGGGCGTCTTCTAGGTTGGGGAGCTGGCGAAGAGGAAGCCACGTGTGGTGCTGAAAACCAGAGGGCCCTGGAGACGTCTCTGCCAACATGCAGAGGCTGGGCAGGGGCCCCTGGTTGAGCCGGTTTTAAGTCAACCGCCGAGGCCTGACAGGAGACGTCTCTTGGGGGGGCCCTTTGCTGGCCCTTCCTTCTCCCCTTGCAGGTCTTGGCCAACGGGCTGGACAACAAGCTGCGTGAGGATTTGGAGCGCCTGAAGAAGATCCGAGCCCACCGGGGCCTGCGGCACTTCTGGGGGTGAGTGGGGGAAGGCAGTGTTTCTGGGGGGCCACTGGGTAAGAGGGCGTGCAGCTGTCTGCCCTGGTTGCGCCAGTTTGGGTTCCTGAAGTGAGCAGGGGTGGGGTGGGTGGCCTCAGGGACCCGTTCCTGCTCCCCCATCCTGTGCGCTCATCCGTCCCGTTCCTCCCCCAGCCTCCGCGTACGTGGCCAGCACACCAAGACCACCGGCCGCCGTGGCAGAACTGTGGGCGTCTCAAAGAAGAAGTAAACCTTTTGTGCAAATAAAACATTCTACTCCCAGTTCCCTTGCCGTGTCCTCCTTGCAGCGGGTGGGTGTGGAGCTTGGGGCCTGGTGAGTCCCGTGGGTGCACCCGTGTCGCTCCCTTGGCAGCAGTGCCAAAGGGGTATGCCCTGGGGCTTTGGGTGGTCTCCCACCCAGAGTGGGCAGTGTAGGACTGGACCTTTTCTGATTTTGGCTGGGTGTTCCCAAGAGCAGTTCTGGCTGGGGATGATGGGTGAACTAGTCCAACTCAGGAGGGAGATCCTGGGGGGCTGGTTGCATGACCGGTTTCCGGTTCCTGCTGGGCTGAGCAGCTCCTTGCTCCAAGCCCTTCCCCTCTTGCAACGGTGGCACCAGGCTCCCCAGCGCTGGGGGGCGACTTCTGGGGGAGCTGGACTGCAGCAGCGGGACTCCTGGCTTCAGGGCTCTTGCGGCCCCAACTCTGGAATCAAGCCGTTCATTAGCTGGCTGGGTTGGCACGACAGGCGGTCCGCAGACAGCTAACCAAGGTTAAAATCAGCCTGTAGTAGGGTGCCCTCCTCCTGCTGGGAAGCGAAGGAGGTGAGAAGCCGGAGTTTTAAGCACGGGAAAGAGTGGCTACCAGGAAGCTCCTTGGGCTGGTTGTGCCCTTCCCTCTCCTGGGGAAAGCCAGCTCCAAAGTGGCCCTGAAGGGGCAGAATCCGGTACTACGGCTCCCGTGACTGCCAGCAGCAGCTCCCGTGACTGCCAGCAGCAGCTCCCGGGACTCAGGC